ATGTAGAGATCTATAGTCAGCAACTGGAACGTTTAAATCAAGCCCTTCATCAGAAACGTCCTTCACTCGTCAATCAGAAAGGTGTTTATCTTCTCCACGACAATGAAAGTCTACATGTGGCCCGTTTGACGCAACACAAGATTATGGAGTTGGGTTGGGAAGTTCTCCCCCACCCACCATATTCTCCAGATATGGCACCATCAGATTACCATCTTACCCATGTGGAAGGTGTTAAAAAAAATCCACATGTTTTTTTGCTTGAAAGCCAAGTGATTTCTTTAATCAGGGCATTAACAACCAAATTGTAAGATGGAAAAGCATCATCGATAAGAATGGAGACTATTTCATTTAATAAATGTTTTGATATGTAAGTTGTTCGGATTTTTTCATGTAAAAAAGCGACATTAATTTCTTGACGACCTAATATAATATTTTTATGTGATCTAATCAGATATACAGCTAGTGAATTCTGGGAACTTTGATATGCTGAGAATCTTCGTCTCTACCTAAGTTTGGCTTTTTGAGAGTTCCTTATCTTGTGAAAAACCCTATAAGATATTACATAATAACACACACACACAAATATATATTATAAGTGGAAGTGATTAGCCATAACAGTTTAAATGCAGCAATTTTTATCTTTACACAGGATAAAACAAACTGTTAAAAGTAAGCTATATATAGACTGTACTGAAACTGTCAACACTGCACATTATTTTCATACTAAAACTTCATATTATTTTCACTTCACATTATTTTCATACTAAAACTTCACATTATTTTCATACTAAACGATGGATTAAACACAAAAAAATTTACATTTGGAATATTTTAAATATTCAGGCAAATTAAAACCTTGCACTTCATAAAACAACATAAGTTGCTATGATAACAAGAAAAAAATCTTTAGTTTGGAAAGGTCTTATCAGCCCGATTATCTTAAGGAAAGAGAAAGTGCACACAAATTGAAACTAATTATAACGTGAATGTTCTTATTTCATCGCTACACCTTCAACACAAGAAGTTATCGGACTTTTCAACACGCCCACGCCCAATCATTCTTTTTTTTATCAACTAAGAAAACATTTACTAGAGCCAACATACAGTAAACTACAAGATTGGATCACGCTATGGTCAGCTGTACTTAATGTGATCCTTCTTAAATAGTGACCAAATGTGATTAAGGGGAGTAACTGAACTAAAAAAAACGGACTAGCTGATGAGGTTTGTTTTACTTATATTGGAAGTAAGTGGATAAATTAAGTATTGATATATTTTGATAAATTACCAGTTTCATGAGGTTCCGAAGACTTGTTCCAATAGCATCTTCCGATGGCTCTCCCGACTTACAGAATATTGGAGAAAACTCTATCCTTTTGCTGGTCTCAAGGTCAGCAAGAGCCTTGGTAAATAATTTCACAGCATCATAAATCAATGCTGTTTGAGTCTGAAACAACGGAAATTAAAAATGTCTACACGGTTCTTCTTGTTAAATAAACATAGATAATTTAAATCAATCTGAATTACTTTCGGGGGACATAGTGCAAATAAAAAATGATTAAGAGCAACTGTTATAGTTAGAAAAAATCATTGAAATGTTGTTTCACCACAACTTAACATTAAATTGATACACTCCCTGTATTGGTAGGTTTTATAAAGAATTGAGTATGTTATATTAAAATGGTTTCAATATACGAATTAGCAAGTCACGGTGAAAACTAAGCCGATGTAAAGTCGCGGTGGAAGGGGATTTATTATACTTACATTTATACAGTGTTCGGTGTTCTGTAGTTAGTATGTTACCTCCAAAAAGTAATCGCTTTGGGAAGTGTATTGTAACAGCCATTTCCCCAGCAAAATATTCCTTCACTCCAATCATAAACAAATGTTCCAATCGGGGATTTAGAATTTCCAATACTGTAATATTCCTTGTATTTAATGTCACTGGAAAACAAAGGAATATGTATCAACTTGGTACATCAGGACTATCAAGAACGAGACCTGCAACAAGTCGTGCTCCAGCTGTGGAAAGTAAATTGCGGCGTTGTGTAATAATGAAAATCCATGAACACAAGGTGAGTGACAAAAGCCATACGTATGTCTCGTGCACAACATGATTAAGAAGAAACTTCGCCTGGAAAAGCGATACAGGTCACGTGTACGCAAGTTGTTTCACGTCATACCAGTTCAACTATGGCATACTTCAAGCAGCTGGAGAACGGAATGGATATTCAGGCAAATTAAAACGTCGCGCTTCATAATATATATTGTTAAAATGGACGATGGGAAACTGTCTTTCTCGCACAGTAGTTACATTATGGAAAATTGCCTGAAAGAGGATATACTTTAAACTCGACATCTTTATGGCGAAGACTTTTGCAATGAAAACTAAGCTGGATTTGGCAACATTAGGTGTAACAACGTGATGATATCATTTTTATATGCCCTATTCAACCCTCTTTATTGTGATTCACTTTATATAGTACCACATGATTCGCCATATAACTGTATAAACTTTCATAGTGACATATAAATTATAAACAGTTGCCTAGATGAAGATCCGAAAAACGTGAACGAATAAGATGCCATGTGAGCTCAATTTTATGCCATTTTTTTAGCACATAAGTAGATGATATAAATATCTGCTAGCATGATTAACTCACGTGTCTCTTAAATCAGCTTTAATAAATAAAGTGTTCTGTGTATATGGTAAAACTAAAAATTAGGCATGGAAAATTATATAAAACCATTTATCCGTTCCTTTACGTCTGAGGATTTGCAGGTTACTTGGGTTTGTCTACAGTGAAAAGAATAAAATTCATGTCTTATCGATAACTGAATGCATTAAATTATATGCTTTTAAAGCAAATAACAACCAACGAGCATGATATTTCTATACAACAGCATTATATCCCACGTAAAGCATTCTGAGCAATTACTTAGCTCTTACAATGACATTCATTTTATATTTCTTAATCTCTCGAAGCTAATTCTTGCAATACGTCTTAGATTTGACTTCTTAATAGCAAAATAAAAATAAAATCGTAAATTTAACATATCTGAAAGCACACAAATGTGAATTAAAATATTCAACAAGTCCACAAAGTTACAATCATGCATATCTATACTATTAAACTGCTTAGCACATTAAATTTGTCCAATGCAACTCGGCATATGAAATTCACAGATCTAACGCAACGTAATAAAAGAAGCTATTGTTATTTAATTCAAAGATCACCATAAAACATTATTAGAGGATTTCAAACAAACATCTGTGCATAAAACTGAAAGTATAATGGGTATAACGATTTCACTTAGTTTATACCAGGAACACAGACAGTGGCCTTTAAAGGTTCATTCTTTCTTTAACAAATCTGACAACAGAAATTATTAACTGATGCTAGTAAGGTGAGTGATATGATGGTCTTCTTATGGGAGAAGGATTATTATCTTTCTAGTTAATATGTTTATGTTATACATGTTGTGTATTATGAACAGTAAAAACAAGCTGTTCACTAAGGTTATTGGACAAAAAGTGTAGTATCCATGACAGTATTTTTTACAATTAGATTAACGTTTTTCTACAACAGAGAGATGTTGAACGAAAATAGAGAGATATTGAGGCAATTCAATTTCTTCCAGATTGCTTAGATAGTTATTTTTCATACTGTAAAGAATGTTCATACTGGAGAACTTACATAAAATACAAAGTGTTATCTACTTCCCGAGAGCCCCAAGTTGTTAGCTACTTCTCCAAAAGTCTCGAATTGTGAACTATTTCTTCAAAGACCTCAAAATATTACTACTTCTCCAAAAGCATAAAAGTGTTAACTACTTATCCAAAAACCACAAAGTGTTAACTACTTCTCCAAAGTCTCAAAGTGTTAACTCTTTGTCAACAGCTTCAAAATACTAACCACATTTTCAAAAGCATCAAAGTTTTCAATACCTACCGCACAAAAGAACTACAAGACCAACAAAGCAACTAAATAACTTTAAACAGACTAATATTTTATCACGTACGACCAATTTTACTTTATAAAACTGAGTTAGGAAGACAAATACCTTTATAAACCGTCATTCAAGTTGCTTTGAACAGTTATAAGTTCTTACTTCCTCTAGTCAGAAGTTCAAAGTTAGGAACGGTTATACCTAAAGATCTCTGACCTGACCACTTAGCCCATGTGTGCGTAAGGTGTCTTTCAGGTTGAAAATACTCATACTATGTTGATTTAAAGCAGAAACTTCCTCACTTAAAAAGTTTCTCTCTGCTTGTATTTGAGTGAAGAAAAAACGTCCAAACTTTTCATTTATAATTGAGAGTTCAGTAAATTCAAATTAGATGTTCATCATTCTTAGGAATGTCTCAGAATCATTTCAATTCTTCCAACAGATATGTTAGAAGGCTTCTTATTAAGCCACGCAATTTTTTATAATTTGTGTTGTCAAAAGTATTATACCTTGCTACACTATCAGTAACTGAATGGAGATTAAAAACAACAACATACAGCTATCTATTTTGTTTATGAGTGTGTATTTTCATGCAAATTTTGTTAGCTTTTTTTTTTTTACATTTTAAGCGTATCCCTGGTCTTATATATATTGCGAACCTTGGTGTCTGTCCGAGCGTTCGTCTGTTTCCCGTTTGAAAAGCTGCCTACGCAGGCAATGAGGGTAGAATAGGCATGAATAATGTTGATGACAGATTTTTTCACAAGCAGGATATTCTGCACTACATTGTTAGGAATTACTCACACTATCATTCACATTTTAAAATGTGACGTAACTTAAAGAATAAAAATGTAGATTTACAGTATGTTATTGTTGAGTGGCTCTTATCATGACTGAAATGTTCAACAATTACTTTTCGCGGTGGGCGGTATAAGTAGCTCAGAGCTTTGGCTCTGGGTGAAACGAAGAGTACTACACAATTAACCTTTTTAAAGTCTATGAAACAATTTAAATTGATAGATTAACTTAATCTTTTCTCGTCACTGGGGACGGGTACTTTTGCTTGTTGTTGATAATATTACAATTATAAATTCGCTCGTAATTTGACATTCTCATATCAAGGGTTATTAATCATAAAAAACAAAATTCAGTGGTAGACTAATACATTTTTAATAGCCCAGTTGTTCGTCCAAAATTTTCGAAGAATCAAAAATTCGTTAAAACAAGTTTTGTTTGCTGTAAAGCACAAAACTACACAACGGACTGTTTGTGCCCTGCCAGCCTCAGGTGTTGAAACCCAACTCCTAGTATTGTAAGCTCACTAACATATCGGTGTGCTAACTAAAATAAGTATGTAAACAACTGAGTATCCAAAGGATTAGCAACGTGGATATTGGCATTCATTTATGGCTTAAACCATTTTTATATTTAATTCTCAAGCCGAAACATAATTTGAATATTTAATTTGTATATATAATTTGCAACTTTAAGCTGAGTGTGTATCACATTTTGGTCTGATTAGGAGGCACATAAAAACAAGTCGCGAATTTTAACAAATGCAAAGAAATACAAGTATCTAAATTTGAGGCTCGGGTCAAATGGCTCTCCTGCACTCCTCTAATTGGCCCTGATATTAATTACTTTAGTTTCAGTTTGTCTTTGAATTAACTTTGTATACGTTTTTCATTCGAATTTGTGCTTCTTCTCCTAACAAGAATATATTTTGTGAGAAAGTTTTACCTTCTACATGGCAGAGGGCGTGGTATTTACAGTACTTTATAATAGTAAAAATGACACTTCTAAGAAGCACCAGAATGTGTGTAGAAACATGAGGCAGGCGCTTTAGCGCACATTATAATCCATGCTAATGATTACTTGATATTAATATAAGGAAATATCAATTTTGTTGTATAAGGAAAAAAACGTTTAATTTTACAAATTACTTCACGTTATCTCCCAAGTTTGGTTGACGTTTTTCTCTAGTGTAAAAACCTTAGAGAGGGTGATCTACTGCAGCTTATTATTTTTCTCAGTCTACAAAATCAATATAAAACCAACCTGGCATGACCTGATGGTTAGGGTGCTCAACTCGCGAGTTTGAATCCCGTCACCGAACATGCTTGCCCTTTTATGATGTGCCCGTCATTATCACTTTTCATTGATAAATGAGTAGCTGAAGAGTTGGCGGTGGCCAATGTTAACTAGCTAATACCCTCTAGTCTACCACTTCAAAATTGGAAACAGCCAGCGCAACTAACCCTCGAGTAGCTTTGGGCGAAATTTATAAACAAAAACCATTCACCAATTACGTGGAAATTAGCCCCAGCTATTATTATTTATGGCTAGATTTGGACAAGACTATCATCTGCTCCATCATGGGGTAGTTTTGTGTTGTACCCAACTTTACTCTTTACGGCTGTCACATGGCGCAGATATTTTTAGGTTTTTGTCAGTGGTCAGTTATGGAGGAAAATGTGAAAACAGGTTTGGCAC